CGTCGTAAGCTTAGAGGGCGTGCGTGACAATAAGCGCCAAGAACACGCGCGTAGAATATTCTTATGTTAGTATGATCGATTTATTATAATAAACCCCTGAGTAAGAAGAAACGTTTTTAATCAAACGGGGGTGGTAAATGTCATTGCTGTTTCTTTTTCTTCTTCTTCTTTCATATCAAACTATTAAATGCTATTTTGAAAGATCAGGATTTTGAAACTTCGAATGCATAATTATGTTGCTGTAAAAAAAAAAGGGGAAGTTAAAAGAAATAATTTCTATAGAAAAGGTATGCAAATGAATTTTTCAACGATGTAGTTTTTTACGGTTTGTTTATTCAAACATTGACGGGAATTACTCATTGTTGCATAACCAGAATAAATATTGTAATATGAAGATAATATATAAATATAAATAAATAAATAAGTTAAAATATAAAAAAAAGAATGCATACAAATAAATATAAATAAATAGATAATATATATACATAGAAATTGCAAATAAATACGAAAACTGCAATACCGCGCTGACAGCACTAGTTCTCGTTCAATCATTTAAGTCAAGCAGCGCTGGGCACAGTTTAGTACTTGGATAGGTGAACCACTTTTAGGAAATACACTGCGTGCTGTTTTTTGACTCCAAAATTTCGCCTAGTTTTATACCTAGCCTGGTCCCAAACCCAGAAAAAATGGTTCGAGGGTGAGCTTAGCAACCTACCCTCAGTAAAAACAATAAATCATTCCTATATAATTTAGGACAAAGTCCTAATAAAAAGAGGAAGAAGAAATAAAATATATTAACAAAATGAATAAAGATTTAACTTAAAAATATGCAAAATAAGTAGCCAATAAAAAGCGAATTAATGAGAAAAAAAAGGTTATACAATTAAAGTGAATTTAGACAAAAAATTGAGTAATATTCTTAAACGAAGAGATCATCAATTTATATAGATAATATAAATAACAAAATATTGTGATGGGAAAGAGAAAAAGGGGCCGCCAAGTAAGTGCCAGAGCCCACGGTCTTCCTCTGTTCACCTCGTATTTGTCTTTTTCGTAACTAGAGATGACACGTTGCGTGGGTATCCTAAAGAAGGAGAGAGAAACTCGATTGGAAAGTGCACAACGGGTTCCTAGGAGGAGGCGTTATATCCCGACTGCCAGGCTCATTAAGGCTAATGACGCGGATCGCGCAATTATTCCAATAAAAGAGGTGGCCCACCGCTAAGTTCGAACCGAACCTATCAATTTGTTATAATTATAACGGCGATATACGTTCTCATCTACCTCTGTACGCACTTACCAAATTACACGTCTCGATTCTACGAACGTCATGAAAGCAGAACGTAAAAGCCTATGTCGAAGGAGGATGATGATGATAATGATAAGGAGGATGAGGAGGAGGAGGAGGAGGAGGGTGTTCTTTCACGGAGGATAAGAAAAAACGTGCCCTGGAAATAGCTTTCTCTTAACGATGATCCCAACGACCATCTAGAGAAATCAATATTTCTTCTCTTTTATCCTGTTTTCATTTTTATTTTCAACTACAAATATGAGTATAGATTATTAAATGAATAAAAGGATAAATTACGATCATAGTATGAAACATATTCATCGACGGGGGTGAGTTGGGGTTATTATTTGGGGTCGCGTGTACGTCAAAATTTAGGTTTGCATCGATGCAATTGCAAGTGGCACTCCTCCTGGTGTGTTCAACAAAGTTCTGAGGATCACGCTCAACAGTTTCCTCTTTCCTTTTTGGGAATGGGGAAAAGGAATAAAAAAAACATAAGGAATAATAAATAGAGGAAGTTTTTAATATATTCATGACACGCGAGTGCCTAAAATAAATCGTTTCTTTAAGTATATTCCGCACTTTACGGTTATCCCATCTGGCATTAGAAGACCGATGACGCGCCGAGGGCTTTCGTTAAAAAAGTAAATACTAGGAGCGTCTCGAAAAAATTCAAACGTGGTCGAGCGACCACTTAGCGAGTACTCTCGAGCCCGGCGGACACGTGTCCAAAGCGTGGCCGTATGTGAGACCACGTGTCAACACTCGCAGGACTAGAAAAAGGTTTGCGGAGGTAACTTCTTGGAAAAAGTAATCGAGTCTCTGACCCTTTCCCATCCCGCCTCCCCACCCCACCGTTATTTCAAACAAACAGTAATCGATCCCATGACGGAAGTAAAAACACATGATATGAAATCGAATCCAATGTTCGCGTATTTAACACTTAATGGACGGGCCGAATTATCCCTGTTTTTCGCAAATTTCGGACATATTTCGGTGAATTAAATAAACACGCATGCGTTGTAGTTTTATTAAATCAATATTATTTCAAATAATAGAAATAATTGATTTCTTAATCAACAGAAAGATAATACTACTTGTAGTGTCAAGAAAAAATAGTAGAATGTGCATAAAATGAACAACTAAATTAGGATAAGAAGCGTCCAAATTCAAGCAAAAATGTAAATTCACGTTGACCGTCCGGAAGTAATACTTTTTTAGCATACCGAAACGAATATAACCTCAAAAATAACTTCAATTTTCCCGCGCAATCGTATAAATATCGGCAACTTCGTGGTGTCGATTTTTCGGTCGCATCTAAGCTTCACTTTCCAAAACGCGCCAAAAGAAGTATAACTTCAAAAACAAATAAAATCTTATAGAAGTTTAAAGTGTGTCTTCGCGCAAGTTCCGACACCCTTTGGCGCGTGGGCAGAACTACTAAGAAAAGGCGTCTGTATATGAGAAACCTTCCCTCAGTTGTTCGGTCACTCATTCGAGTGTGCACCTACGTGCATAAAAGAAAGAACAAAAATATAAATAAAAAGATAAGAGGGGAGAAAGAGAGAATACAAGAAGAGATATATATTCGAGCAATAAGAAAACGAGCGAGGTCGTGCGTGCAAGTGAAACGTGCGCGCGCGCGCGCGCGTTGCTAAAAACTGCAAGAGGTGGCCGGCGCGTGCAGGAAAGTAGGGGGAAAATAGGCGTGGTTCGCGATGCACGTCCGTAGTCTTACTAACACGAGACGGGCTCTCGTCGTGGGCCCACCTCGTGAGGGTTCACCGGGACTCGAGTTTAAGGGGGAAGAGACTGCCCGAAGAAGTCCGAGGAGTGGGGGTAAACGGCACGGGCTCTGGTACCGGAATGGTAGGGATGAACGAAACTGTTCAACACACACATACATCGAAGAGGACGTTCTTTCATGTAATAGTATTAGTAGATTATAAGCAACGGGGTCTCTTAAAGTTTCACGCACACATGAAAATCCAACTTGGGACGCAAACTACGCACGTGTAGGGAGCTTGCGTACGAGAGAGAAAAAGAGAGAGAAAGAGAGAGAATGCATTCAAAGTGGAGTGGGGATGTTGAGTGATACCGAAGAAGGAAGAAAGGGGAAGGGGCCAGAGAAGTGGTAGGTTGGGTGGGGGTAACCGAACGCTGCCGAAGGTGAAACCCGCCGAGGCAGACTTGCAGTTGGCGCGAGACCGCGCTACTGGAAGGGTCGTTGTTGTTGTCGACGTTACTTATTATTATTTGTTATTATTGTTCTTCTTCTTCTTATTATTATTATTCTTCTTCTTTTTATTATTATTATTATTATTAATATTCTTCTTCTTATTCTACTTGCATCGTGTTTCAACGTATCGTATGCACGCACGAGTAATCGTTTATTTTGTCTTTTTCTTATCGCTACGCGAACAAACACACACACAAAAGAACGTCTAACCATAACACTAAATTAATTCCTCTATAGTTTCCTATTTTTTTTCCCCCATTTTTATTTCCACCTCCTTCTTCGACTCGCGACTGGAATTCTTTCGATAAAACAATAAGAAAAAGAAGAAAAGGGTTGAACACAAACGCTCGTGATCGAATATAATAATCTTGTTCCTAGTTGAAAAATTTTGTCCCCTCCTATTCTTGCACCCTTCTCCCCTCCACGGTCAATCAATTCACCACCACCTCCTCTTCCTCTTCCTCCTCCTCCTCCTGGTTTACATCCACCACCTCCGTTCGTGCGTGCGTACGTTCGCGTCGTTGGTTTATCGCGCGCGCGAACAGACAAACATCGTCGTCGAGGTGGCACACTGTTCTTCCACCCACCGTGTATTAAAGTAGTTTGAAAATCTAAGGAAGAAGAAGAGGATAAAAGGAAAACGAAGAAGTCGAATAGAGAGAGAGAGAGAGTTTGTCTTCTTGAATTCTGTGATATCACTTGATACGTGCCTCTTCCCCATCAACCACCCTAATCACTCTCTCTACATATATATATATAAATATATATATATATACTTTTATATTTTGACTTTTTCCCTTATAATACTCGCTCGTTCTTATGTTCTACTTGCACGTTTGGATTTTAGCGCAATAAAAGGGTAACACTCGTGTCGTAGTCATCAGTAACGAAGAAACAGATAAAGGGAAGAAGTTGTCTAGTGTTTGCTTACTTTGATGTGACAAGCCTAGTGTTCTTTGCATTAGGCTAAAAGTGACTTAAATATGTGACCATAAAGAAACAAATAGAAGAAACTTAAGTCAGATATACTTGTGAAGAAAGAAAGGAAACGTGTATTGTGTGTGTACGTGTAATTTGTGCAACTTTGATTCTATGTATATATATGTATATACAGATACACTTGAATCTAACGAATTTACGTTGTTATAATATTGTTATTTGTTGTTGGTTGTCCAATTCTTATTCTATGGGAGTCACACAGGAAGAATCTTAAATCTTCAGTGGGGGGGGGGGTGRGGGTGGATGTTTATTCGATTCTATTGCAAATGAAATCGATTTATCGTCAATCCTTTCTTCATTTGTTATACACCGTGTATCCCAGATAACTGTGATAATAAATACTCTACGAATTGAAATTAGGAGAGAGTGAGAGAGAGAGAGAGAGAGAGTGTGTTTATACGCTTTTTTTCTTAAATGATAGACAGAATGCGTCGTCGTCGTCGTAGTTCAGTGCCTGTTTTATTACTGTGATTATCGCGTGAACAATTATTATTGTTATTATTGTTGTTGGATCATCGAGAAACGTTCGACGTCTTCCAGTTTCGAAGGATTAAGAAAAAGAAGAAGAACAGCCGAAATAGTAAATTAGGAAAGAAGGAACAGAAGATAGTAGTAGTGAAGAAAAAGAAATTAGAAGAAGAATTACGTTTTTATGATCGAAAGGAACTGAATATCGAAGCTAACAAATGCTCGGGATCGTTTGAAATTCAACCGGTAAGCTTTTACAAAATTATAATAATAATAATCATCTCATGATCGTGATGGTGGTGTTATCGTTACAATATTAAAATATTTTTTTTTTCTCTCCCCATTCCCCTAACTCAGATTATATTCGTTTATTTATTTATTTACTTTACCGAAATTCGTGTGACAATAAAAACTCGCGATATCACAATGAACTTATTGTACGTTATCATTTAGGAAAAAAAAAAAAAAAAGGTGTAACTTATTCTTAGATATTATTTGTATGATATATTTAATATCGAAATCTTATAACATCGACAAATCTTTATGCTAACACAATAAGAGATTTCCTTAGTCTATACTTTGGTTATTGCGTGTTTCTTAAGTGTTATCTTTCGTTTGTGTGAAAAGTGATACAACTTAATCTACGATACATACTACACATTTAAGAATGATATTATCGATAGAGAAATCTAAGACCTTGTCAAGATTACATTGTTCGATTTGATTAGATCAATGGCCGTTTTTAAACTTACAATTTTATTTTATTATTTCGACGAATTTTCTGCTCATCACTTTTTATCTATATCCTTGTAATCTTTAAAATGAAATTAATCGAAATCGGATGGTCTAGAAAACGATAATAAATCATAATAATAATAAACGAATATATTTTCATTCAAAAAAAAAAAAATTAAGAAAATATAGATGATAGTAATAAAATTTCTTAATTTATGCACGTAGAAATTAACGTTAGGTTAACAATATTACAATAAATACATTGTCTTTAATATCACAAAAAGAGAGAGAGAGAGAAATAGGGGGTGGAGGTTAGTGGGTGGAGTGAGAGATAGAGAGAGAGAGTGAGAGAAAGAGAAAGAGAGAGATGTAGCAGGAGAAAAGGAATAAAAAGGAAGTATTCTGACAAGGTTGTGAGAGAACAAAAAATAAAAAAAAATGTGTATCGGTTAATATCAAAGGCTTTTCTTCTTTTTTCCCCATAGTGAAGCAACCCTCGTTGACAGAAGAGTGCGTTTATAATATCGATTGTTGTGTTGGATAAAGAATCATGTGTTTATATATACATACATATATGTATTTTTAGGTATATGTGTATGTTTAAGTGTATATGTGTGTGTGTAAGTTATGTCGTAGGTGATCACGTGCGAGGGCGGCTTTTAATAATGGCATATGTATGAGCCGTTCAACCATGCGTCGCGACGCTAAGCGTCGGAAGTGGAGCATACTCGAACAAAGTGCGAACCTAACGTGTTATAATACATATGTGTATATATTTGAGTATATATGTGTTTATAGGTGTATGTATGGTATATTCTATGTGTGTTGTAGATGTATGTATGGGATATTCTGTGTGTTTGTAGATGTATGTATGGTATATTCTATGTGTATTGTTTCGTATATACTTTCATTGGTGGTTGTTATCAACGTATCGTTGTATCAGTGGGTGATCATCACATCACCTGATCGAATCCCTTTTGCACCCTCTCTCTCTCTCTCTCTCTCATATATTTTCTCTCTTCACGGTCGACCTTTTCATCGTAAGATAAACTTGTCTCTTGTATTATCGGATTTTCAAGTAGTTGCTTCTGACGCCACTGCCTTGTGTTTTGAGATATATCAAAAATTATGAGATTTTGTTATTAGAAAGATTTTTTTTATTATTGAAAAAGACAAAGAAGAAGAAGAAGAACAAGGATTAAAATAAATCAAATAAATGTTTATGCAATTTTTATGCATTAGTAGTAGTATTTATTATGTTTGTAAGATTATTTTTTCGGATACTTTT